GAACGGCCGATCGCGACGCTGAGGCGCGCGCGCAGCACCGCAGTGGCCCACCGAAGCCCGAGGTGCACTCATCGCAGAACATCTCCGCGGGCGCCTCGCCGCGACTGCAGACCAGCTGGGGCCAGCGGAGGCAGTCAGGACAGGGCGGAGGCGGCCTCGGACCCCCCTGGGCTACAGCTGCGGTGGCGAGCACCCTGGGGTACTCTTCAGCAGCATGGGGCACGAGAGCGCGCATGGACGCGCGCGCGGGGATGGTTTCCGCCCTATTCGGGAGCTTGGGCCGCGAGCGATGGATCGCGCGCCGAAAGGGGCAAGCGCGGCATCCGGACGTCGCGCCCCCCGCGCTTGCCGACCCTGGATCTCGGCGCACACGCGAACGCACGTGCGTAGCACCCCGCAGATGCGAACAAGAGTGACGGGGCGGTGGGGACGTCGGCAGTCTGCGAGACTCTGGAGAAGCCTGCCGCAGGCGCCAAAGTTTCACACATTGCACAACGAGGCCGCCGCAGGCGCCGATTTTTCTTCAGGCCAACGTGGATCGATCGCGGGTGGGTCGCGGGCGGGTCGCGGGTGGGTCGCGGGTGGGTCGCGGAGTGGGTCGGGGGTGGGTCGCAAATGGGTCGCGGGTGGGTCGCGGGTGGGTCGTGGGTGGGTCGTGGGGTGGGTCGCGGGTGGGTCGCGGGGCGGGTCGCGGGTGGGTCGTTGGCGGGTCGCGGGGTGGGTCGCGGGGTGGGTCACGGGGTGGGTCGCGGGTGGGTCGCGGGGTGGGTCGCGGGTGGGTCGCGGGTTGGGTTGCGGGCGGGTCGCGGGGCGGGTCGCGGGGCGGGTCGCGGGTGGGCGGCGGGGGGGGGGGCGACGACAACAAACAACGACAACAACAACAGCAGCAACAACAACGCAACGAACATAATCCTCACCGCGGGTTCTCACTTCAGCCACGCACCCATGGAACGTGGATGACCGCTCGGCCCCCTCACACTGATAAGATATATATATATATATATATATATATATTTGCTGATGTGTGTATATATGCGCGACAGCTGGCACCGCAGCTGCCGTCCCTTCGTGCTGGGCGAGTGCCGAACCTGGCGTTCGGTTTGGACGGAACGCGTCGGGTCTTCTGCCAATCGGGGCTGCGCCAGGTTAGCCCCCCAACGTCAGGTTCGGGAATGGGTCGCAGCAGCGCTGTGGCCACATCAGCATGCCGACCGCAGAATCAATGAGACATGCAGCTGCAGGGATCAATATTAGAAGGTAAAGCGCAGCGATCATTAAACTTTTCTATATATATATATATATATATATATATATATGTGTGTATGCGTGTGTGTGTGTGTGTGTGTGAATATCTTTATTCATATACATACATATATATATGTGTGTATATATATATATATGTATATATACGTCCGCTGGGCACGGAGCTGGCGCGCCCCCAGGTCCTTCGCGTCGCCCTCTGAGCCGCGGCCCTTCCTGAGTTGTCTTCAAGGGGCCTGTGCGGCCTGTGCCGAAAATTTTTAAATCCCCCGAGGCCTCCCCCGGCCCCCCGGGGCTCGGGCGCATCTTCTCGCGCGACGGTTTCGGTCCCAAGGGGGCCCCGAGAGGGCCGGGGGGTCTCCGGGAGGCTCTCGAGACGCTCTGGGGGAGCCCGGGGACGCCCCAACATCGCGCGCAATGTGCCTAGACGGCCCAAGGCCTCCGAGACGCTCCAAGCGAGCCCCGAGAGCCATTCCAGCAGGGCCTGCGAGGTCTCCGAGACGCCCCAAGAAAACCGCCAAAATCCGTCCCAAGAGGGCCTCGAGAAACCGAAATCTTCAATTCCCCATCGAATGTTTCTATGGTTTGGGGACCCCTCGACTGTTCGAGCTCGCCGACCCAAGAAGCCCCCGGGGCCGCCCTGAGACGGCCCGAGAGACCCCCGAGGGGGCCGCGACCAGGCCCCAGACGGCCCCGAGACGGCCCTGAACGCTTCCACGACGGCCAACAGACAAACCCAGGACGGGTCCAAGAAGAGGGGCGCGAAAAGAACATCCGACCCCCCCGCGCCGCGAACGCGACCGGAGGCCCCTGAGAGGCCCGCGAGAGGTCCCGAAGACGCCCCCCGAAGCGCCCGCACGAACGAACATCCTGGAGGCCCGCGGACCGCAACCCGGGCGCGGCGGGCGGGCGGGCCGAGGGCCATTAGAATATATGTCGCTTCGGCGCGCGGGCCCCGAAGTCTGTCAGCGCTCACGGTGGCCGCGCCCTGATGCGTTTACAGGGGGCCAGCGCGCGCGGGATCGACGCCGTCAAGGGGTCGTCGGCGCCTCCTCCGCTGGGGCGCAGGAAGAACGCGGTCGTGCCATAGTTGACTGGTGGCGCCGACAATGATGTCGTCCGTGCCCCCGGCTCTTGTCGCGGTCTGCCATGCGGTGGTGCCGGGCGTGGGCGCTTCTTGTCGACGTCCCAAAAAAATGCCCGGACCTGGGCCTTATTGTGAAGTTGTCGATCAGGTTGCTGCGAATGGAGTTCGACGGATTCGGCAGGCCCTCCAGCATCGCCCCCCCCTGGGAGACCCAGATTTGCACACCGCCCCCGTTCAAGGAATTCAAAAAAAAGACACCTTTGAAAATCACATAATGGCTCCGACACGCGGCAAAACCATGGCTTCCACGCCCCTCATTCACGACGCAACATAAAGGCAATCGCGAAACGCCGAAGTCGTGGTTGTGGTTGTGTAGACACACTTGGCGCTGCACTAAAATAAACAATGGTGGCCTTGGTGGTCGCAGTGGCATAGCTGCCAAGGTCTCGGCGCAACGTGTTCCGACGCTTAAGGTCAAGGTCTGCAAGTGGTTCACTAGATCTGCTAGGTCAGTTGTAGTCGCAACGAGTTGCGACAGCGATGACAGCGGCACTGGTCGCGACCGTCGTGACCAACGCCGCTTTTTGCACTGTCGCAACAAGTCACGACCACAGCGGCCGTAGCAGAGTGAAGCAATCATTGCAACCCTTGAACTTACGCGTCGGGGCACGTCGCGCCGAGACTTTGGCAGCTATGCCACCGCGAACATCACGGTCACCACTGCCTACTTTGGCACAGCACCAAATACGCCCTGCACAACCACAACCACGACCTCGGCGTTTCGCGCTTGCGATGTTTTTTCGCGTCGCAAATGAGGGTTGTGAGCAAAACGCATGTTCGGTAGCGCGTCGGGGCCCTATGACATGTCGAGGGGATTCCTGATGTTTTGTTTTGGAGCCGCCCTCTCTCGGAAGTCCTGGATCGGTTGGGTGGGGGGCGGGACGGTGGAAGGACGCTGGAAGAAGCGAAGCCGTTGGCGCGATGTAAGTAATTGGGGGGAAGCGGTGAGAGGAGGGGAGGGAGAGGTGAAAGGATGGAGCGTCCAAGGAGACAGAAGGAGGAGGATTGACATGAGGTCGAGGTTGCCCCCCCCCACGCCCGCTCGCGCCTTAAAGGTTTGACGCCTGCGATCCTAATAGAAGCCTCTGGGTAACCCTTACGAACCCCCAAGAGGCCCAAGGACCTAAAGACCCTAAGCCAGCCCAAAGACCCCAAGCAATCTCAAGCAGCATCCCTAAGAGCAACTTGAAAGACCCAAAGCCGACCTAAAGACCCCTTGAACAACCCGCGAGGCATTTTCCCAGGGCCCCTGGCACGGCGGCGGGTTTGGCCGAAGGCCTTCATGAATAGTGTGGCGGGGGCTTGCCGAAGGCGTGTATATAGTTGCAGAAATCACAACACGCGATGCAACGTTGGGAAGCCACAGTTGTTACCTTTTTCCAGTAGGTGGTGCAACTGCTCTCTCTGGTATTCATATACGTCAGCTGCTCAGCTCGACGGCACGCGGCGCACCAAGAAGGGCTCAAACGCCCATCGGTGCAGCACGGAAGACCCTTCTACGATGACATGTTGTTGTGTGGATGTGACATGGGCGTGGCGTGCCCTCATCTATGCACGTGTCCCCCGCGTTCATTCTGTGCGTCTCAACGCGAGCCTCACGCTCGAGAGGCCTCAAACGAACCGGTCGTTAGTAAAACCGTGTCGAATGGCCAGCGCGAACTGTTGAAACCGAGCGCCCCCTCGCCCGATCAAGACAAAAAGCGAGACCCTTCGCCGAAACTGCAACGACAAGTTCTTTCATAAGGCATCGCACCCTAGCAAGTGATATGCCCATATCACCTTCGCGATGCAGTCTGGGACATTCGAGCGCGCCAGAAGCAAGCAAGAGAGCGACCACCTCACAAGCAACTGAGATCGGAGGCAAGACCTGGCGCCTAGGAGAAATCACCGCGATCAGCGAAACTCAGAACAGCCTGCAAAGGTAAAGAGAAAGAGAGAGAGAGAGAGAGAGAGAGAGAGAACGAAACTGAGAGAATACTGGGGACGTTGATGAGATCGGGGGGGGGGGGGGGGGGGGGGGGGGGAGGCCAACTACATGGAGGGTGTCGGAATCGAGGAAGAGGAGGTGTGGAATGGAAGGAGTAAGGAGTAGGACAAAGATACACACAAGAGAACTGACTGCGGCACTAGATGCAAACTTGCATCGGTCCTGACACGAAAATGGACGCTAAGGCCAGCTCGGGGTTATCGTTTTATGTTGTTCGCACTTGGCTCAAATATTAGTCATGTGATTTGTTACGCTGTTTGGCTCAACCTTTCACAATATGAAGACTACTCTTGTCACTCCTCAACGCTTGGCTCAACTGTATGACGGTTACGTTGGAACTATTCCTAACACCTTGGTTAAGTATCTGAGTTACCCTCGGCCTCAATGCTGCCCTCAAGATTTCATAGACGACCTGTAGCTGAAGAAGCCGGGGGTCACACTGAGGCTCTGTCCTACCCCCAGACAAGAACCAGTGCTAACGAGACGCTAGACACAACAGAAGTCCGTGCGACCAGGCATACTGAGGACATCCAAGCCATCGAAAATCAAAGGCAACGCGATCGAAGCGTCAAAAAATCGCCAGGCAAACCAGGTCTAGAGATGCACCTAGAGAAGATTATCAAACGGGCACACAGACGGATCCTGGGCAGTGGCAGTGAGATACTGGATCCACAAGCGACGAATCACATCTTTCATGGCGGCCGTCTCCCCCATGCTCCAAGCAGCACTGATGCGGCTGTAGGGGGGGTAATGGCCAGCCCACGCGGCATGCGACACCGCACGCCAGATGTGCGCACCAGGTGGTAAAAAAGTCTTCGCCTCAGCCTGCGTGAACTCTGTCGGGAAATCGCGCCGCACAGGTGGTCCACCAGCGGTCTTCGCTTTCGCCTTACCTTTTGCCTTAGCCTTTGCCTTGGGGGCAGCCTCGCGAACGGCCTTCGCCTTCTGGTGGAAGTCCGACTTGAAGATGTTCAGCTCCTCGGTGATCGTGACAACCTTCTTCTCCTGGCTCTTGAACTCTTCGTGGTCGTCGCGGTGCAAGCACTGGATTGCCTCCTCTACCTCATGCAGCGCAGGGAAGAAGGACGCCTGGAGGTCGTTGACGGCGTGGCGCCTGGCAACGATCTTGATGGCATCGACCTCGGAGACCCCCAAAGCATCGCACACGAGAGCGAAGATGACATCGACGAGCTTGGCCCCGGGCGGCAGGTCCACGCCCTTGACCCTGGCAACGCTCTGGAGGGTGGTCTTGGGGACGCTCCAGAAGGCCTTCGAAGCTGCGTTCTTGCACAGGCCATCCGTCGGGCCCTCCTGGAACATGCTGATGGCGGGGAGCAGCGCGTTCATCCCGACGCACAAGGCAGGGTAGTCACTGCGCTGGCGCGCCCGCGACTTCACGACCACGGTGCAAGACGGAACGTCGAGGTCGAACAACGGTTTCACGATCGGCCCACGCGTTGAGTTCTCCGGCTGGAACACGAGGAGGCCGCCCTCGAGCTCGCGAGTCTCCATGGGCCAGAAGAAAGCGCAGCTGTTGTTGAAGTAGTCCAATGCAAGGCACCACCCCTGACCAGGAAGATTGACCACGAGCTTGTGGCTGACCTGGACGAAGCTCGAGATCCAACTGAGGTTAACTTTGTTGAAGTCTGGGGCCTCGGGCGCCTCCGCGAAGATGCGCCGCAACATGTAGAGGTCGGCGACGGGCTGGTTAATAGCAATGTGCCCAGGCGAGTAATATGGAGCATCCTGCCTAGTGGAGACGACCTTCGCGAACTCCATGGTCGCGTTGGTCTTGGAGGAGCGGAAGGCCGAGCCAGAAAGACGAAGGCTCTTCGATGTCAAGGGCACGCTCGTGATGGCGCTCTTGAACTTATGGATGCCGTCCAGAACCTTGTTTTTCAGCATCGTGGCCATGCTGGCTTCGGGGCGCCTGTACTTCCTGTTGCCGATGACCATCTTCGAGTTCTTGGCCTGGCCGACGCAGTCTTCGCAGATCTGAGTGCCAACGAGCCCCGAGACGCGGTCCTTGATCAGCTTGACGATCTGCTCGTGGACGCTGTAGCCGAGGTCCTCGAACGCTCGAACGAATTGAATCGTCGCCGCCTTGCGGAACTCGCTGCGGACGAAGACTTGCTCTGCTGCTGAGCCTTTCTCGGCGGCCTCAAGAAGATCGATGATGCGCTTGTCAGTCTGGTACTCACGGACCACCGCCCTGGAAGCATCGCCCTCGCCCGTCATCAAGATGCGCTTGTAAGGCCAACCGTGCATGTACATGTTCCTGCGCTGGCGAGCTGAAATTGTATTCCAACCAAACTCCCAAGCCACGCCAGCAATCTAGTCGCCATCCAACATCTCGCCCTCGCTCGCCAACCAAGCGCCGTCAAGGCATGAGAAACCAAGGTCTTCAAGAAGCCAACGGTTGTTAAAGCACGCAGCGATGTCTTTCATGTGGTTCACGTTCTCGCTCAAGAGCTGGACACTGAGCCAATCAGGCGAAGCAGCTGAAGTCCGAAGAGTCCTGTTCTGGCGAATGTGCCAGTCACGCACAGGCTTTGTCAGGGCAGCGATGGAGAGGCAAATCTTCCTGTTCATGGGGTCGCTCAGCATCAAGGCCGAGATCGCGACGGCGTTAGCAGCGCAGCCCCTCAACGTCTTCGCCTCCAAGGTGATGGCATTAGCTGCCGTGGGGGCGCCCTCGCCAAGCTCCTCCTGCTTGCCAGTCTTCACCTTGACCATGTGCTCCAAGAACTTCTTGCCCCTCACGAAGTCCATCTCGAGACACAAAAATAGACGTTCGAATAAATCGATGTGCCAATGCGGAACATTCAGCTTGGCAGCGGAAACGGACGACATGAACCTGTTCGTGTTGCAACGCTCCCCAGGAGAACTGACCCATACGCGCTTCTTCAAGTACTCCCAGAGCTCGACCTCTGGCGAATCCACTCCTGGGAGATGATCGCCCACGCGGTTCAAGTCCTGAATCATGTAAGGGGCCAGCTCCATGAACAAGGGGCACGTGTTCGGCGAGCGCCTGTTGAAGCAGTAGGTCATGGCCTCGCGAACCTGCAGGTGGCGAAGGTCATCTTGGTCTGGGCCATGAGGCAAGTTAAAGGAGATCATCATGAGCATCCACATGCCGCGCAGCTGTGTCTTATTGATCGCGTGATCGATGCTGCGGTTAGCCCCGTGCGGAGGATCTGGGAACCTCAACATGTTGATCTTCAGCTCCTCGAAGTAGGTCAAGGCGTTCGTGGCGCAGACGCCGTCGCTGCCGAGGTCCAGGGAAACCGACAAGCAACGCCAATTCACCCAGTCCCTGGTCGCATCCTCAATCCTGAACTCCTTCAGACCCTCAAGTCAGAGCAAGTGTTCAGCTGGTTGTCTAAGTTCTGAAGCCAACGCCTGCTGGCGACCCTGTGGAGCTTCACTGGCCGCCACGCGCCAGGCCGAGCACCAGGAGCGCCACGAGTGAGCCAGGCCAGCTGCCGCTCCATCACGCTCGCCGTCGTGGCGATTGCCTCGTCGGCCTTCCGCTTGAGGCTGAGGTCCTCGTGGAGCTCGTCGTCGAACTGCCGATCCACCTGTAGGGTTGAGGTTAACTAGAGGCTATACAGGAGAAACCCCCAAGGCCAGGAAGGGGGGTGGTGTATAAATCCGACACGAAAAAAGCTTAGATTTATACACCGGTACCGGGTACCCTGGAGTCCTGGAGGCCCCCTCGGATGTCCCAGAGACCACCCGAGGCGGCATCGGCACCGCCAAGTTGGACGGAAGCGCGAGGACGCTGACCTGGAGCGGCAAGTTGCCCACCGACGCCTTGTCCGTCGCGACCGAGACGCAGCGCGGCTTGCCGAGCTGGTGGGCCGCGTTGGTGACGTACTTGGCCAAGGACTGGTCGACGTCCTCCCCGACGCCGAAGCCCTCGGCGGGGTCGTCGAAGCTGAACTCCACATCCCTCCTGACGAGATGGCCGTCGTTGTTGTCGGACGCCATGACAATCTGGAGCTGGTGAGACAACGACAAGCAGACCTGCGCGATAATGCACTCTGCCACGGGCGTGGCCTTACTTGCAGTCAGCATGAGCACCTCCATCATCGGCAGCTTGTAAAAGGTATCGCGAGTGCACCTTCCAGAAAGACACATGTTCCAATTCTCGTGGATGAAAGTATCGCTCCACGCGACCTGAGCCCTCTCGCAGAAGGCCTTCAAATCAACCCCCAAGGAATCGTCAACCTCGACGATCATGGCATTCTCCAAATACGAAGGCTGAGGACGAGGCCACCCACAAGTCCACGAGACGTCAAGAACTAGATCAAATGACCAAGGCCTCTTGTACTGATTCACAGTCTCGAGTACACTGACGATGAAAGCCTGCGCTGCCTTCACCTGCTTACCCGCGGAGTCTCGCTTCAAGTCGAATCCACCGTAATGCGATGGGCTCCAAGACCACTTGGCCATCTGGAAGAGCATCCCGAATGTACTCACCGAAGTCACCTGCAAACACTTCGCGGGGGAGCTGAGCTGAACACGCTTGGCCGTGAAGGAAGACACGCATGAACCGTGCACAGTCTGGCCGCCACCATCGATGGGGAACCTCCTCTCCCAACGTTCAGAACTCCGAAATACCCACTTAGAAAGAGTCCCCTTGAAACACTCGATCCCCAAGAAGTCGTAAATCGAATGCATGCTCCAATACAGAGGCTGCTTCCCAGGACGAGGCAGAGCGAACGCGAAGCAGTCGAAGGCGAACGATGACCCACCAAGAACCTTGACATCGACAGAACCTGCACGGTGCTTCGCCTGCACATCCCAAAACGATTGCACACTCGACTCACCCAGAGACTCATCGACCGTAAAGAGCTCCTTCGTCGTCGCCGATTCGAAGAGCGAGAACTTGAACATCGCATCTGCGTCTATGGCGGCAGCCTCACCACCAGGGTAGACTGCAGCGAGGACCACATCCTGGTCGTTGGCCTCCGAATCGGCAACAGAAGACTCGCCCAACTTCAAGAGCGCGCGGTGCTGCAACACCGTGTCCGTCAACTGGTAGCGGCACTCCCCGATCTGATCGAGGAAGATGCGCCCCTTCGCAGGGGCCGCCGTCGCCGTGGGCCCAGCAGCTGGCGGGCCTTCGGCATGTCCACGTTGAGGCTGACACGGTAAAGGTCGGGCGGTAGCGTTGCCATTACTACCTCCCCCCTTTGCCCAGCCAGCCCCGACATTTATATATATAAAATGAAGAGTCAGGTGGAAGAGGTGGTAGGTAGAAGGGAAGGGGCCCACGGCACCTGACACACGGTTGGGCGGGGGGATGCACGGGGTTGGTTGGAGGGGAGGGGGGATGGGGGGGTTCGCAACCCTGGCGGGGGGGGTGGCATCGTTTCATGCCAGACCCCAGGGTGAACCTCTCAAACACACCCCAGGACCCAGCATCCCTCAAAAACGAAATCGCCAGGATGAAACGCATGGAAAAAAGGCAAAACCCCCAGATCCAACATCACATCATATGTATTTCAAGGTGGGGTCTGGGTGAGGAGGCGGTTGTTCGTTTCGAATTGGCCGTCTAGCTCCTGACCCCTCCTCATCCTCATCCGACTCCTCATCTGACCCGTCCTCCTATCCTCCTCTGATTCCTCATCTTCCGAAGCCCCCCGTCCACCAGCGACTCCTCCTCCTCATCCTCGTTCTCTCCTCTTGCCCACCGTCGCCTCGCCTTCTACCCCCTCATCGCTCCTCCTCATCTTCCATCTCCTCCCCCTCCCCCTTCCCCATCGCTCCTCCTCCGATCCTCGGCCTTCCTTCCCCCCTCGTTTTTCCGCTGAAAGCCTGCGACGGCAGGTGGGGCAGCTGGCCCGGCGCCAGGGGGCCCAATCGGCGGCGGCGCGGCCGCCATCAAGCAGCCTCGAACTCTGAGCTGAGAGCGGGGCGACGCCCCCACCTGGAGAGGCACTGAAGCAAGGAAACGGCAAAGCCAAACAGCTGATGCACGGATGGCAAAGAAGATGCGGGTCTGAAATCGAACCAAGACGTTTCTAATGATATGAGGACTCGGCCTCTCTTCGCACGTTCCTGGATGGTCAGACGAGGGTCGGCGCCGCCACTCCAACGAAAACTACACAGGTATCTCTTCCAAAACTCTGCGCTCGCGATGCCGTCGTTTGGACGCATGTTAGACCCCCCCCCCTAATTCGCGTTCAATTTCAGAAGAAGTAGTTCTCAGACAACCCTGCACGACTAGATCCTTAGCCACAAGAACTCAACGTTTCATGGCGCGCTCCTTGGCCCACAACCACAGGCACCAGCTGCATGTTTGGAGAGGCCTCGGGGACCTTGAAGACCTTCGAGGAGACTTGGGGCCTTGATATCTTGCTGGGGCGCCCCGCTGAGTCATTGCTTTGGGCGCCTTTAGGTTTTTCAAGGCTTTCGTGTTTTCAAGGCACCCCTGCCATACACAACGTACGTGTACTGATGCTGCTGACTGGCCTCCGAACGGTCGGAATTTCTCGCAATCGTCGGCAACTGAGCTCGGGAGGCCTGAATCCAGGCCGACACTCCGAGCAAGAGAGAAACTGTACTGCGAAGCTGCAAACCCTTGCTAGCACGCTTGAAGTCGAGGCCACAGCTCGAACAAAATCTGTTGTCATTCAGCTCACCGTACTTGCCCCAACGGCAAGCGAACAGCACAGGCTGCATCACGAAAACTTCAGCCCAAAGAAATAGTGCTGCGCTTCTTCACCTCAGCCATCTTCTCGGCTGCGCTCTGCCTGGCCTTCTGCATGGCCTTCTTCTTCTTCTCCGAGACGAGGGTCTTCAACTGCCCACGGACCTCGCCAGCGCTGCTGCTGGAGCTGCTGGAACCCTGGCCTTGGACGACGGCCTCCAACTCATTCTTGTGCGCGTTGAAGGTGTTCAGCACTTCCTTCGCGAAGTCCTTCGACGACGACGTCACCTTCGTGATCTTGTAGGGGCCCGTGCGCGATGCCTTGAAGAACTCGCAGAGGAGCACGGGCGGCATCGGCGGCTCCTGGAGGCAGGCAGCCAAATCGTCCCAGTTGTAGTGGAGCGTGTACGACTAGTCGAGGTGGAGACCCTGCGGGATCTTCACCTTGTCGCCGTTCGCGTGGCCTACCTCCGAGAGAAGCCCATCGATGGACTTGAGGACGAAGCAGCCAACCTTCCAGCACAACATCCCAGTACTCGAAACACCACCGTTCTGCTTGAACTTCTTGAGCCGCTGGCCAGCGACCTCGATACGAGTCTTGAAGACCCGACTCAGCACCTCCACCACCCGAGCCTCCTCGGGATACTTCAACCCCTTAGGGTACTGAAGCGCGAACTGCATCAGCTGGAACACGGCGCCGTCGTCCATCTGCTTCGCCTTGACCACGTCCTGCAGCGAGAGGTCCGAGATCTCCACCACGATCCTGATCATGAACTCCTCGTCGGTCTTCGCGAACGTCTTCGCCAAGATGTCGAACTTGGCCTCCTCGCAGCGCGCCTCCTTCGCCATGGCCCTCAAGCGTTTGTTCAACTCGTTGAACAACGGCAAGATGTGACCACTGTTCGCCGAGCACTCGTCGATGATCGTCATGAAGCACTCCCTGCGCGCCATCGCCTCGTCGTCGATCATCTGGTTGCGAGTCTTCGCTGGCATTGGCGCGCGCATGGCCAGGGAGCTCCGCGTTGCCGATAGGCCAGGCGAAGCCGCCGCGGCGGAGCAAGGCGAGCCCGCAGGGCCGCTCTTGCTCGGCGTCGACAGCGCGGCAGGCATCGCGCGAGAGTTCGAGAAGAACTGCGACGATGCTGAGACCGAGCAGCCTCAGATCTCAAAAGATCCCCACAACCTCTTGGGCCAACACAGGCTACGGATAGACCGTTTCACCAACGACGCGTTTCAAGATGAAGGGCCTGGGCCTCATCGATGGGGATCTGACGGCGCCCACCTCCCCCCCCTCCTCCTACTCCTACTTCCTCCTTCCTCCTCCTCCCATCCACATGTCCTACACGTGGGCCCACAGTTAGCCAGAGAGCATGTCAAAGTGTTGGGAGGAGGCGCTGCAGAGACCCAGGGAGCGGAACAAAAGGCGACATGGGATCCCGAAATCTCTCCGGGAAGAATGACACAAACCGCTCGGCAAAATGATCCGCTGCACCAAAGCTAGGCGCGTGAGAACCTACTTCCCCCGATCAGAAGACACGGCAAGGCACTGCAAAACGCCGTGGCAAAGCATGGAACTACATCGCTTAGCGGTGGTCGTTTGGTGGTGGGGTGCTTGCTTGTGCGAGATGATGGTGGTGGGAAGAGAAGGTGGCGTGGTGATGTGCGTCTGTGGCGCGTGGTTCCGTGTGGTGGTTGTGATGGTAATGTGGTGTTTGTGCGTGGGTGGATGTGGTTGCGTGTGGTGGTGTGGGTGCGGCTTACGTGTGTGTTGTGGGTGTGGTTGTGCGTGGTTGTGCGTGGAGTGAGGGGTGCTTATGTGTGGCGTGGTGTGTGTGCGGTGGTGCGTGGTGGTTTGGCGCGCGTGGTGGTGTGCTTCGTTGTGGTGTGGTTGTGCGTGGTGTGGGGTTGGTGTTTGTGCGTGTTGGTGCGTGGTAGTGGCGTCGGTGGCGTGCGCGGTTGTGCGTCGTGGTTGCGTGTGCGTGGTGGCGCGTGGTGGTTGTGTGTGGTTGCGTGGCGTGCGTGTGGTGATTGGTTGTGGTGTGGTGCGTGGTGGTGGTGCGTGCGTGGTGTGTTGATGTGGCGTGTGTGGTGTGTGCGGTGGTGTGTGGTGGTGTGCGGTGGTTTGTACTGGTGTTTGCGTTGCGCGTGGTGTTTGGTTGTGCGCGGTGGTGGTGGCGGTGGGTGGGGGGGAGATAACGGCGCGCGGTGCAAGTTCAATAAGTGACGTCCCCCCCCCCCTCCCTTTACGCAGGCCCTCGTCGAACGTACACGACCTTTAACACGTAACCTTACAAAGTTCTAGTAGAGGACGATCCTAACCCTGAGTGGTCACAAGTAACACGCGCCTTCGGCGTTTTGCTACGACGGATGTAAGACCATTGAATTTTACGACCGACCGATATATTTATACCTTACCGACCTATACGCCTACTTGCCGAAAACCAATCAAGGAAAAATCCCAGGGCGGGGGTGGTGGTCAAAAATGGAGTTCCGACCCCCCCCCCCTCGAGTGGGCTCAGCGAGCGCTGCTCCTTCTTCGCAGTATGTGGAAGGCAGCAATCACTGATCCGTCAGAAAATAAAATCAGCCCGGTAAGCAGCGTCAGCGTTGGGCCGATCGCGGGTCTGTCCTCAATTATCTTCGCGCTCGGCCCCCGTGCTGATGCGCATCCGGGAAAAGACAAACCTCCGGCGAATCTCGCGCGTAGGTCTGGACCCCCGCCCCCCCGGGCGCCCGCCCCCCCCGCCAGCAAGTAATCACGTTCGCCCGCGGCGCCAGCTATTGAATTGCAGCCTGGGCCCCCAATTATGCCTGATAGTTCTCTGCGCGCTCGCGTCGGTGCACCAAGCCGGTCAGTGCGAGAGGGCCCCATCATCTGACGGGCGCGGCGCAGCCGGCGTCCTGGCTGGGAAGCAGGCTCGACGACGGTTTCGGCCCCACTCGTTGCGCCGTCGGCGGCGCCGCCCTGCGGGGCATGCAATTTTGGGCGAGGCGCATCCTAGCGATCGCAGGCCACGCTCTCGGCTAGCGAAATAACGACATGTGCCCAGCACCTTGCGAGAGCACGCCCTTTCCCACGCCCCTACCGTCTTCGAATGCGTGAATGTTTTGCTACGACGGGCCAGTCTGGGCCTCTTTCCCTAGCTCCAATACTCAATCCACCGCGTCCTGTGATTCATGCTGTGAAACTGGAACTTGGCCGTTTCTTCTTGTCTTTGGAAACTGGAAAAAACAAACGTGTGCTTCGTGTGCCGTACACCTTGAAAACACAAACGAAAAACGCATCATGCTGCTCCGTGCTCTCCATGAACTGGTGCCTTATGCCAGGTTGTGCTGTGTTCAATGGTGATCCCGTCCTCTGCTTCGTGTCGCATTTGAACCGCCAAGCGGCATGAAAAGACTCTGCCAGTGCGCAGCGCTCATGTCGTGAATCGTCGCCGTCCCCGCTTCAGTCGTCAAGTTCAGGGGAAGCTCAACGACCTCCACTCGATCTTCGACGGGCCGCAGGTGCCAGGCGTCTCTCTATGGGCGACTTCAAAATATCTACGCGGCAGCCTTCAGCATTCTCTCCGTGGGTGCACGCCCATGCTGTCCGCCCAGTTTTTGGGCGTTGTTGGGCAACTCTCACGGCCAAAAAAACAGAACGACCTTGAGGTCTAACCAGTCGGATGGCAAGACATTGAAGCAGTCGGCTCTGTCACACATATTACATCGGGCGAAGTTCTCACTGCTGTTGAAAAAGACACATGCCAACCAATTGTGGCTGGCAAGCGCCAGTGGTCTGACCATGCCTTTCCCCAGAAGCGATTCAACGTGATGAAGGTTGCTTGCTGCCGCCAGTAGTTCAGTCTTCGACGTGAAAACTGTGCTATGGTCGCAGGACTTTTCAGCGTTACCGCCATGGCTTCGTTCGCTGAGGACGACGCCTTCGACTTCGACGCTTACTAGACCTCCCCCAGCATTCCCCCTAGTGAAGTAAAAAATGTGTTCGTCAATCTGGTGTTCATTTATGTGGCAAGTGTGGGCACTCATGTCTTATGCGGGCGTGGGCAAAAGTGGGTTGCCTGGCGCCCGCGGTTTCCAACAAATTGGCCGCGCTGCCCGAAGCGAACTTCACATCGGCGAGCTTGTATGCGAGGTGCTCACGGTGGGGGGCGCTGCTGCGTTACTAGTATCTGCTCGCCGCGGCCTCCCCGATGAAATGCGACGCTTGGAGAAACCGAAAGGTACCGATCCCGCTGCTCCCCGGACCTCTCCCCAGGTGCAGCCGAGCGGTGGCGACCAGGGCCTCCCACGAGGCCCAAAATGGTGAACGCGAGGCAAGGGTAGCAGGATGGGGGCTATGTCTTCCTCTAAATCTTCGCTGTCAGACACCGATGGTTCACGCGTCTGTGGTACCAACTTTTTGTTCGCGGAGGCTCGTTTTTGCTCGATGGCCTCGGGGTGCGACCCCTGGCCTCCGACGCCGTGGCGTTATTAGCAGCGTGGGATCCCCGGAGGCCAAGACCGACTCTTCGCGGCAGTTTCTTGTTGGCCCCGCGTCGTTGCGCGATGGTCTCCAGGGTTCCGGCGTCGTGGTGTCTTCGCAGTTTGAATAAGGATAAGCACACAAACAAAAGCTTTCGACGGTCCGTGCGAATTTCTTGGGTTTGCGCTGGACCCCACTAGCGGCGCCTCGTCGCCCGTGGGGCGCTCCGCGCGCTGAGAATTTCTGCTTTATGCCGTGTCTCCTTCCTCGAGGTCCCCCGAATCCAAGACCCACTCATCGAGACAGTTTTCTTGTCTGGAGTCGTTGCTTGATGGCCCCCTGGGCCCAGTGAGGGCACCACAGAGACCAAAGGTTGTCAAAGCACCTCCACCCGCGATTGGTTCTCACGGCGGGAGAAGGTCCGGGAAGACTCCCCCCCACTGGGAAGGCGAAACCGAAGGGGAAGCGCCACGACAACACATGAGTCTCACTGGGCCTCTGGAGGTCTCCAGAGGCCCCTGGGTCCCGAAGCTTGACAGGAATAAGCAGGTAGCTCCAAGCACACCTATCCTTTTCCAGACGAGGAATATCAAGAAGACGGCTAAGAATCTGCATAAACATGAGTTTCAGAGGTCCGCGCGGATTCCGTCGGAACGGCGCTGAAGGCGCTCCCGGGGAGGGGGGGCACAACGATGAACTGGGGAATCTGCGCGGCGCCACTTAAAGCGTACGTTCATGCCGGGTTTCTGCTTCTGCCCACGCAGACATCCGTCGAAGCGACTTCTTTAGTCCGCAGCCCCTGAGTTTCCGACCCCTTCCCTCGGGTGCGCCGAAGAGGGGGGCCAGGAAGAGAGAGGTTAGCGAATCATGGCTCGACGCATGTGAGCAGACGAAGAAGATGGGGCCATGACGTCCAGGATATGACGTGGCCCAGGCCAAGATATCCGCAACCCCTGGTCCTCATCCCCCTCCTCGGCGCCCCTAATATTCCACTCCAACGGCCCACTCTTGGTGACCCCCGGGGGGAGCGCGCAAGAGCCCCCCCCCCCCCCCAGGAGCCTGGAACATTGACAGAACGACCCAGACACCCAGCGATGTGCCCCGACTCCTTCCCAAGGGGGGAATTTTTCGTACCGCATCCGTTCTTGATGGCCTGGGGGCCCGGTCATGGGCCCCAGAGGCCAAACATCAGGGAAAGAGCATGTCGCGATTGTCAAACATCACACGCCAGGGTCGAACAACAAAACAACAGGACGCGTGCCCCCACCCACTCCTCCTCCTCCTCCTCCTCCTCCTCCTCCTCCTCCTCCTCATCCTCCTTCTCCTCCTCCTCGTCGTCCTTCTCGTCCTCGTTCTCCTCCTCGTCGCCGCCTCGAAGTCCTCCCTTAGGAGCTCTGGGCCCGAGGTGCCGGCCTCGAGCGGAGGTGGCACCGGCGACAAGCCGGCCGACGCGATGTGCCGCGGCCCTGGGCGAGCCGGGGCTTCGGCGGCCGCCGCTCGCCCGCCCTCCGAGTCTGATGGAGCTGTTTTCCAGCACCACCATCACCATGAGTTGGAGGGGGAGGGGGTCATCCTCCTCCTCCTCCTCCTCCTCCTCCTCCTCGTCCTCTTCGTCCTTCTTCTCCTCGTCCTCCACCTCCTTCCTCCCTCCAACCTATGGTGGTGGTGGTGGAAAACAAGCCCATCAGAGTCGGGTGTCGCCAAAAGTGTCCGGGGCCAACAGTGCCCCCCGGGTTTGCCAGGAGGCCCCCGCGGCCTGCAGAGCGCCCCTCGCGAGGCCCAGGGGGTCTCGGGGGCTCCGCGATGGAGCGGGAGGCTCTGGGGGCACCTTGGGCCAGGGACACATTCCGCGATTCCCGACTGAGGGGGCACGATGGGGGGGACCGGCTCAGGGGGGAGAAACATCGACTCGGCGTCGGCGATGCATCGCGGATAGATCGGCGACATGTCCCCGCTGGCGAGACCGCACACTCCTGGGCGGGGAGGGCTGTGAAGCCTTCATCGGCGATGAATGGGCGCATGTCGGGCACACACTAATACGGCCGACCCGTGGATCCGGCGCGCGGGCGCCAAATCCACAGATGGGGGAGGGTACCCCTCGAAAGAGGAGACCAATGCTGCCTTGGTTGGCGACGGAGCGCCCCGACTTCGCCAGTGAGCGGGACCCGTCGCTAACCCACGCACTCAAGCCCTTGTCTTCGTCTCCTCGGGAAAGGGGGTCGATGCGTCCCTGGACGGGGCTAGGACGAGGGCGTTCTGGGAGGCTTTCTGGGAGGATAAATCCGTGCCAGGGCGTTCTGGGAGGCTCTCAGAGCGTTCCGGAACGCTCCGCGAAGGGCGAAGGCCACGGCGCCGGAGACATTCTCGAGAGCCGCCAGATCTCCGAGGTCCTCGATTTATCCGTACCCGATGTTATCCTCGTCCTGTCTTCATCTTCGTCACTTCTCCCCATACCTCCGACGCGATTTACCTCCGACGCGGGGTCACAACCTGGCAACACCCGATCGTCTTCTCGAGATTGGGGGCCGATGCGCCCCCCCCCCAATGGAGCCCATCACCACCAAGCGTTGCCCCTGACTCTCGCCCCGCCCCGCGCCGCGCGCCGCCCGCGTGGACCTGGCCGGCGCCTCGGGCGGAAGATGGCTGCCGCGGGCCCTAGAAAGGGGGGAGTAAATGCGAAGGGGAGGAGGAGGATTGTAGTGCAGTGCTATTGCCCTTGAGGGTAGGCACAACCCTGTCAGGGTCTCCTGAAGGTTGGGGTGACAAACCTTCTTGTCCCAAAGCCTGTGCAGGGACGGTTGTTGGCACCCGGAGCTGGTGGATGGTATGCGTGGGCACCATACCCCGCGACAGCCACCTCTGTTCGACACTTTCGGATTGGCGGGGCTGGCATCCCCAGAAGATGGGCTGTTTGACAGACCTCTGATCAGAGGATAGGCTGGCGTCCCCCAGAAGAGCGTCAGACGCTGGCCCTAACCTTGTAGGGGGGCCCAGATGGGGCAGCTCACAAGGGGTCACAGGGCAGGACGGTTTGCTGCCCTAGTTCGAACGGGCGCGCCTGCTACACCGCAGGCAGGATCGCCGTCCTGGCGGTGACAGGGGGGGACCCGCTCCGCATCGGGGCAGCCTGGAGACCTGCTCTGCAGCAGGCTGGGACGCCACCTTAGGGTGAACAAGGGGGGGCCCAGCACCATCGCAGGTCGGATAGCCACCCCAACGGTTGCACGGGTACGTAGCTCTGAGGCAGGCCGGGCTGCCCCCCCCAAAGGGAAGACGGGGCGGACCCCCTCCATTGCCCCCGATGTCTTCGCTGTGGGGTGAAAATCAATACCTCTTCCACAGGATAGCCGACCGCAGCACTGTCGTTTTCCGGGGGATTCCAATCGAAAACAATGAATACGAAAGCACGAAGACTGCGAGACACGTGTTGATGTACTGCTTGCCGTGAAGGAGTGCAGCGTGAGGGCGTGCAGGACCGCGGGCCTTGGCGCTGGGCAACGTCCTTGAGGCATCAGTCTCGCGACGGGGGTGGGCGCGCATAATCTGCGGATGCACGATGGATGGCACTGCCGCCAGCCAGCGCCCAAAAGGGGACGAACCTAGGTAGCGGTTCGACGTGAGAAGGTGCAGGACCGCCGGCCTTTCCAACGGGCTGTGTCCTTAAGGCACTATGCTTCGAAAGTGTGGTGAGCGTGCATAATCGTTGGATGCCCGAAAGTAAGTCGTCATCCAGTGTCAGAGAAGAGACAAACCTTTTGATTAGACGTGAGATGTCACGTTGATTTAAACAAGTACAAATCCTAGGCCAGGCGTGCGAACGCGACGCCTCACAGGCTAAACATGTCCGTCTACCTGCCCCAGGTAAGGAAGAGGAGGAGGAGAAGGAGGAGGAGGAAGAGGATGAGAACGAAGAGAAGGAGGAGGAAGGAGTACGGAAGAGGAGGACGAGGAGGAGGAGGAGGAGAAGGAAGGATTAGGGATGAGGAGGAGGAGGAAGAAGAGGAGGAGGAGGACGAGGAGGAGGAGGGAGGGAGGGAGGAGGGAGGGAGGGAGGGAGGGAGGGAGGGGGGGGGGGGAGGAGGAGGAGGAGGAGGAGGAGGAGGAGGAGGAGGAGGAGGAGGAGGAGGAGGAGGAGGAGGAGGAGGAGGAGGAGGAGGAGGCGGCACAGCGTCGACAGGAACACCTCGCCCACCTTATCGCCGTTCGCCCTGTGGCAGAGCCGCTGCTTGCCTCGCGGCGCGAGCAATCGCACGAGCCTCAGGCTGGGGGGGAACTGGGCCAATGGCGATGCTGACTTTGCATGCCTGCGCTTCTGGTAGAAACCGAAGGCCACACACAACCCTATGAAGGCTCTCTTGGTCTGAGGGGGGGCAAGGGCGAATTTTAGGAGGGGGAGGAGGCAGGAGGAGGGGTGAGGAAGAGCAAGAAGAACATGCTGCCGCCTAACTTGATGGAACCAACGGAGAAAATCCTAGGTTCGCAAACTTCGCGCATCGCGGCCCGCGCTACGAGCCGCACGGTTGTCTTCGCGCCTTCGCGCCGCCCCCTGAAGAAGGCCAGCTCGGCGCCCCTGGCCGCGATGCGCGAAGCGAGGTTATGTACTGATTATCTTCGCGACACTGGGTGCGGCCTGGGAAGCCGACGAGACGGTTGGGTGACGAGGAGAGAGATGGAGGGAGTGTCATGGACGAGGAGTGGGAGGGAGGGAGGTCGTGGAACGAATAATGGAGGGAGTGGGAGCGAGAGAGAGAGAGAGCATCTATATATATATATATATATATATATATATATATAGAGAGAGCGAGATATGTGCACACACACAAGCACACCCAGATAAACATATGTAGCACCCCGCAATTGCGGATAAGAGTGAGGGGGCGGGCGCGGGCGACGCGGGCGTCGTAGAGCTGGCGGGCCTCGTGGCCCCCACCTTCCTTGTCGATGGCGCTCTCTTCCTTCTCCTCCTCCTCCTCCTCCTCCTCCTCCTCCTCCTCGTCCTCGTCCTCGTCCTCATCGTCATCGTCATCGTCCTCCTCCTCCTGCTCCTCCTCCTCCTCCTCCTTCTCCTCCTCCCCCTCCTCCTTCTCACCTCCTCCTCCTCCTCCTCCTCCTCTTCCTCTTCCTCGTCCTCGTCCTCATCGTCATCGTCATCGTCATCGTCCTCCCTCCTCCACCTCGTCCTCCTTATCCTCCTCCTCTTCTTCCTCGTCCTCCCTCTCCCCCCCTCGTCCTTCCATCATCGTCCTCCCATTGTCGTCCTCCCCCTCATCGGCCTCCATCATCGTCCTCCCATTGTCGTCCATCATCATCCTCCTCCCCCTCCTCCCCCTCTCCCCTCTCGTTCTCCTCCTCCCCCTCCTCCCCCTCCTCCCCCTCCTCCCCCTCCTCGTCCTCCTCGTCCTCCTGCTCCTCCTCCTCCTCCTCCTCTTTCTCTACATTATCCTTACATCCTCTCTTCTTCCGTGTCCTCCTCGTCCCCTGTTTACTCCTCATGCCCCCCCCCCTTTCCCAAGATAACGGCAACGCAATCCTTTTTCCACTTTATGCTCCCCGACTTCTCTGTCAAGGCAACTCGCCAGGGCAAAATTGCTGGACGGGCTGGCCTGGATGCGCGGGGTTTGAAGAGGTCGTTGCGGGCTCAGACGGCATGCTAAAATCCGCCGCCGCGCTTGTGCGGCATTGGTTTGTTCAGTGAACGTGATTTTGGTCGCGGGTGGGTCGCGGGCTCTCCACCTCCATCTGGAAGGAATGTAAAAGCAGCCCGCCGCAGGCGCCGAACAATTTGGTTTGTACACTGAACGTGGTTTGGGTCGCGGGTGGGCCGCGGGTTCTCCTCCGGGAAGGAATGCAACAGATGCCCGCCGCAGGCGCCGAAACATGTGGTTTATACCCTGAAAAACGTGGTCGCGGGTGGGCCGCGGGCTCTCCACCTGGAACGACTGCAAAAGATGCCCGCCGCAGGCGCCGAAAAAAATATGAGTTGTACCATGATCGTGGTTTGGGTCGCGGGTTGGTCGCGAATTGGTCGCGGGGTGGGTCGCGGGCTCTCCACCTGGAAGGGATGCAAAAAAACCCGCCGCAGGCGCCGAAAATGTTTGTTTGTACCTTGAACGTGGTTTGGGTCGAAGGTGGGTCGCGGGTGGGTCGCGGGGTGGGTCGCGGGTGGGTCGTGGGTAGGTCGCGGGTGGGTCGCGGGTGGGTCGCGGGTGGGTCGCGGGGTAGGTCGCGGGGTAGGTCGTGGGGTGGATCGCGGGGTAGGTCGCGGGTGGGTCGCGGGTGGGTCGCGGGGTGGGTCGCGGGGTGGGTCGCGGGGTGGGTCGCGGGGTGGGTCGCGGGTGGATCGCGGGTAGGTCGCGGGTGGGTCGCGGGGTGGGTCGCGGGGTGGGTCGCGGGTGGGTCGCGGGGCGGGTTGCGGGTGGGACGACGACAACAAACAACAACAACAAACAACAACAAACAACAACAACGAGAATCTGCACCGCGGAATCCCACTTCAGCCACGCACCCAGGGACGTGAATGACCGTTCGGCCCCCTCACTCTGATACATATATATATATATAGGGAAGAAGAAAGCAGTGTGTAACTATGCATATAACTACCACACACTCAAATATTTGAACATGCGTAAGACAGGGGCAACGGAAGAGAAACAGAGAAAAAGAGACAGACAGAGAGAGAGAGAGAGAGATAAAGAAACAAAACAGGATATAGCAAAACCAGCCGCGCGGGATGTCCGTCTTGGCGCGCGGGCTATTAGCGTCTGCTACGCTCACCTCTTCGGCGGGAGATTCAGCATGTTAGTGGCAGGGGCTGAAAAAAAAACCACCCCTGGCGCGGTCGAAACGGTGACCCCGCCAGGAAAAACCTGGAAGGGCGTGGCACGACCCCTCTGCGCGCCTGTGCTGCCGGGAGGCATCGGCGTTAACGCGCGTTGGCATGCGCACTTCGACGCCCTGGGTAGAAGGTGCCGCGTTGGGGCATTCCACTCGGCGGCCCTGTGCTTGGTCATTGGAACAGGATGCCAGGTGTTCTCGCAGCCAGCGGGAAAAAAGGAGAGGCTGGAGCTGGTGCGCTAGCGGTGAGCATCAAGTCGCGCCTGGAGACTTTCCTGGAGAGTAGCGCCAGGAGAGACAGTCGTGCGGAGACTTTGGGAGCTCGTTCCAGGCGGACTGAGCTGGCTGGAGGCGCGCTTTTGCAGAACCGCGATGCAATCAAACTGATAGTAAGAATGCGCGGTCAGAATGCAAGGGCCTGGAACGCCCAGGCCGAAGCTTTTCGATTGGGGCTGGCCATCGAAGCTTGTTGAGGATGGACCGACGATGACCGAATAGGCAAGGATAGAAGGGCATCCTTGGGAAGTCGATCGTCCTTGCTATAGATTTTGACTGTGCTTGGTCAGAGCAGGTTCACGTTCGTGGACAGGCTGCTGCCCTGGCCACGGTGCAGCGTTGCGCGAGGGCACGTCTCCGATCGGTCAGCTGCGGTGGTGTCGCTCGGGCACCCGCCCCCCGTGGCGAGTGGTACTAAGGCCCTCGATTCTCGTTCGGGAGGACGTAGGGCTTCGCTGTACACCGGAGCGAACCCTGCCGAACTGGCCATGCACTTCGATGTCTTTTTAGACCGTAGTCCTCTCCCCAGGCGCATCATCTCTCCAGGCGTAGCGCCCGCTCCCTGTTGGTACGGGGCTTGGGCCTGGTGGCAGGATGCTCCTCCTCCGCCTTCTCCTCCTCCTCCTCCTCCTCCTCCTCCTCGTAATCGTGTCCAGCTGCTCCTTATTTTCTCTCTTCACCTCTTGGTCCTTGTTCGCCCCTCCCCCCGGTGCTTCCGGCGCTGGGGGGCTGGGTGTGCTCCTGCACCGGCCAGCGCAGGTGGGTTGGGGCGGCGGTCCTGCCCCACAGGGGCTGGGGGGCTGGGTGTGCTCCTGCACCGGCCAGCGCAGGTGGGTTGGGGCGGCGGTCCTGCCCCACAGGGGGGCGCCAGTCGCGGCCCCTCGCCTCCATGCGCAGGGCCTCCACCGGGCCGATGGCGCCCGAGGAGGGGCCCTGGTGGGCCTTCGCCTCCGGAGGCGCCGTCGCCTCGTGCCTTCCAGGACGGAGGAGTGCGCTTTCATCGCCCGCGTCGTGACCGTCACCGTGATGACTTCCATGGCAGGGTGTGATCGCGTGTCGAATCGGAGGGGTGGCAGCGTCGTCATGGCCACAGTCGAGGGCCCCGCCGAGGCCGACTGGGTCTTCTTGTTTTCCTTTTGAATTTGTCGGGAAGGATACCCCCACCTTGCCGCCGATTGGACGTCCATTCCCCGTGCATGTTTCGGTTTCGTGCGTGTTTCTTTGGCCGGATGGTCGAGGATGCTCCTCGATGGTCCTCGTCGAGGAAAAATGCACACGTCCGAGCGATGCCAAGCAACGGACCGCCCAGCTCGTCATAGTACGCTCGCCCTGGTGGGCCTTGCGAGTGAGGTGGGCCCCCGGTTGAGCCTGGTGGCTCGTCTCCCCCGCCCCCTCTGGCGAGAGGGTTGGGCTTCACTCGGCGGAGTTCCGACCTGGAGTGTCCAGCTCGTCTGTCGGGTGGCGGGAGTGCGTGGTGGTGACAGTCGTGTAAAACACCCGCAGAAAGAGAGAGGGAGAGAGAGAGGGAGAGAGGGAGAGAGAGAGAGACAGACAGACAGACAGACAGACAGACAGACAGACAGACTGACAGACAGACAGACAGACAGACAGACAGAAAGACAGACAGACAGACAGACAGACAGACAGACAGACAGACAGACAAACAGACAGACAGACAGAGAGCACGAAGATGGCGCGCGGAGGGAGGTCGACGAGGTGCGGGGGTGGGGGGCAGGGATCCTCTGGGGGACCCCAGGCGCCTCAGAAGGGTTACCAGCGGCCAATCAGCTCGAACTTTGGGTCGGCGCTGGGGGGTCAAGGCCGACCCGAAGACACCCGCTCGGACCTCCGACACATTATCTTTATGCCGTGACTGTTCCTGGAGATCCTCGATCCTCGAAGCTGATCAAGGGCGAGGGCTGTCGACGTAGCGCCGTTTTCGCAAAGTGGGCCTTGGGAGGTCTGGAGCTTTTCCCTGGGGCCATGTCTTCGTCACGGTTTGTCTCCTGACGGCCCTCGGTAGAGAGCAGAAAAACAACCCAACACCCCGACAAAAGAAGCCGTTCGGCGAATGTAGCCAAGGACGGACTCGAGCAGGACAGGGCTTTTTAGCAGACGCCCAGGGCTGCTTAGCAAGCGCCACTTATAGAGGCCGTGGTGTTTTTTTTCTCCTTTTACTGGGGCCCTTGACTGGGGCCCAGCATGGGCCCCCCCAAGGGCCGACAAGAGCCAAAAACCTTCAGGGCGTGGTCGGCTTCACGACGAGACGAGGCCCAGAATCCTCGAGCCTCGACCTTTGAACGATGGCGACGGGCCCGCCGACGAAGACGCAGCGGAGGATGAGGAGGGGGAGGAGGGGGACGAGGGGGAGGACGAGGAGGAGGAGGAGGAGGCGAAGGAGGAGGAGAACGAGGAGGACAATCAGGAGGAGGGGGAGGAGGATGGAGCGGGGGGGGGGGGACGAGGACGCGAAAGTGGATGAGGATGCCGCTGCTGCTGCTGATGCTGATGATGCTGCTGTTGATGATGAGGAGGATGTGGGTGCTGATGATGATGTTTCTGCTGCTGTTGATGATGATGAGTATGATGATGATGACGATGACGATGCTGATGATGCTGATGCTAATGATGATGAGTAGGGAGAGGAGGCTGAGACGACAATGATGATGATGATGCGGATGATGCAAATGATGATGATGGGGATGATGATGATGATGATGATGATGATGGCGCAGCCCCTTCAGGCTCCAGATCCCCAGGAGCTCGCATCACCGCTGAAACAGAGCTCGAATGTGAAGTTGCCGCTTCGAGATAGCCCTCGCACGAGCTTTGTAAAAGGCGAGTATGCACTCAGGGCCAAACCGTTTCATGCTCCTGAGAGAATTGAACGTGCTGAATCAAAGATCGTGAGCTAGCATGGTAGAGTACAAGGCAGGAGAGGAGGACGCATTATGCCTCTGAAGCAGCAAGCGGTCCTGGGCCGTCCAGGAGAGGAAATCAGCGGGAAGATGGGGCAGGACAAGACAGAGTGGCTCGAGGGCACATGGGCAATCAAAATAGTGGGGGATTTGATCGCCTCCACACGCTCTGCACCCGAACAGACAAGCATTCCGCCCCTGACGATACCCAGCACTGGTGGCCCAGGAATTACAGAGACCTTTCAATACAGCAGCGCCCACAAATGGGGCAAGCTCAGGGTTAGCAAGATTGATACCAGACTCGTTTGATGCACTTGGTCCCAGGAGCGCCCCAGGACACCGCGGGCCCCTCCGGGCCGATGTAAACTCCCAGGTACTTGCCGAAGGTGTCGGCCCGATACGGCCGAGTTTTAACGCCAGATACACGAAACACCTCGCACGCGTATCTCCTGGAGTATGGCACAGCAAATACCAGCGAGCACTTGCCTGGGTTCAAGATCAGGCCCGTCGCCATCGCGGCCTGCGAGAGCAATCTCAGCACGATGGGGAGCGCGCGGACAAGGTCGCAAGAAACAATGCATATGTCGTCCGCGAATGCAAAAAAAAGCCGAGCCATGGGCGTCATAACTGAATACATGCACCTGAAAATGCGATCAGCAGCTAAAGCAAATAGTACGCCAGATAATGGACATCCCTGTTTGATACCACGTGCGATATAGTAGCCTCTGAACGTGCCTCCCCTTAGTCTGGTACTTGCGTAACTATCACGATATAGTTGTTGAACAGCGTCCACGACATATTCTGGGGTAAGCATATCTTGTAAAACGGCCAGGATCCACGCATGCGCTAAGCTCGGGAAAGCAGCGGCAAAGTCGAGCAGGAAGAGGCCAACTCGATCGGCACCTTGAAACACTGCATGCTCCAAAAAGTCCGACTCTATCAGCGTTATGTTGTCTAGCGTGCGCCTGCCATGGATAAACCCAGTCTGGTTTCTGCGCATAAGCAACTGAGCCTGTTGTTCAAATTGAATACTCAGCAGCGACGCGAAGGTTTTGTTATCAGTATTGCCCAAGAATAACGGGCGGGTCTCCTTTGCTTTTCTCTGCGCGTCTCTCAGAGAGCGCCCTCGAGATTTTTGGCCAGGAAAACCGTGGCCCCATGGTTGAAGCCTCCAGGAAGAGAGTGTCCAGACATAAAACTCGATTAAGCTTGGCATAGTATCTGTTACACTCGATGCTACACTTTGCCCAGCCTGAGTACGGGATGCCATCGGGACCAGCCGCAGTGTCTTTCTTGCGATGAAGAAAGCCGAGCATTTCAGAGAGCGGAACAATCCAGTCGATCCCAGGATGAACTTTCTGGCAGCGAGCTAGTAGCATCTCTGGAATGTGCGGGGGCACGTTCGGCGCGCCAGCGGCGGTGTACACGCGGCCCCAATGCTCAGCAAGTCGGGCGGCACTGTCCTCTAATCTGGTGGGTGCGCGCCCTTGATGGCCCAGAATGCCTACGAGCGAAATTCGTCTATGCTTGGGAGACCAAGCCTTCAAACGTTTGTGCAACTTGACTGTGCGCTCGTCGTCGTACTGGTACTCTGGGGACTGCTCGTGCTCCCGGAGCTCGAGAACCAGGATGCGCTCTTGTATGATGCGGATGTGCTCGTGGAACCTCGCCTGGTCTATGATGTGCTCGTGCTGTTCATCTGTGAACTGTGCGATTTGGTCGCATGCACGTGCGCACTTGCGTATGATGTGGCTTCGACCGCTCGTACTGGCACGCATTCATCTTAAACAAACCATGAGACGGTGAGTATCAGCTTGTACGCCGTATCGGTAATGCGTGGCTTGATCTCCGCTGTCGCTATATGCACGCACTCTTTGATCCCTTCTAGAGCGAGGAGGGGACCCGTGGAGAGGTCGATTTGGGCCCGAGCATCATCCGCCAGCTGTGCAAATTCAGGGCGAGCGGTCACCCACGGTGGAATACTGGCCTGGGACCGAAGCCCTGGAGAGAGAGAGAGAGAGAGAGAGAGAGAGAGAGAGAGAGAGAGAGAGAGAGAGCGAGAGAGAGAGAGAGAGAGAGAGAGAGAGAGAGAGAGAGAGAGAGAGAGAGAGAGAGAGAGAGAGAGAGAGAACAAACAAAAAAAAAACGAACGAAGACAGGAACCTGACCACCCGGCTCGCAAGCTTTCAAGACGTGCCCCATGATTCCAGCAGTTGGCTTGGCCTCCAAGACAGTAGCCGTGGCAGCAAAGGTATATATGCGATCAATACGTCCCAGGGACTGAATGCCTTCCCCGCGGTCCCCAGTCCTATGCGTGGGCTCGTCTTGCGCCAACTCGGGCGCATTCGGGGAGAGCTCGCGAAAGCGCCGAAGAAGAGCAGGACGCCCAGGACGCTGATACCCACCAGCAGTCCTGATTCGGGTCCCTCCTGACTCTAGGAAGTTAAAATCGCCTGCAAGGGAAGACAGACACGAGTTGCTGTGAGGGAGGACATCTGCGATTTTCTCGAGAACAGAAAACGCCCCAGCATCATTGAGAGTGGGATCGAGGTGGGCATTGTACACTTTGAGGTCACCCTGAGGTCCTTGGAGGGAAAGAGAGATGAGACGGCCGCGCACATGCTCGCAATGCTCCACATTCGTGAAGTTGGCAAGGAAAGAGTTGGCCACGCTGATCGTAGCTCCACCCGCATATGGGTTCGCACAAAACGTGCCAGAGTGCATGTGCATGGGATAATCCCTGCGCAGGGTCTCGCGGTCAGCATATGTTCCATGTGTTTCCTGCATGAGTATAAAGGTATGGGCTTTGATAAGAGTGCGGAACTTGCGAATCCGATTTCTCTGCCGTATGTGATCACCATACACACTTCCAAAGAAGGCTCTTGCATTCCATGTGACTATCGCCAGGTGCTGCTTAATCTGCCACGGACATTCAATGATAATGTCTGCGCAGCTGCCCGAGGCGGGAGGAGGAGGAGAGCTGTACTTAAATCGCTTCCCGAGACTGCGAGCGAGGGCGGAGGCGCGTGGGGGGGAATCAGCAGTATAGGCAAACCCAGATGCGGCAACATCGTCATCTTTAACAGAACATGGTGCGCCTACTTCCTACTCCTGGTAGGCGCTGTTGACCGCGGCAGGCAAGTCCTGGACCTGCTGCTCTGCGAGGCCGAAGCTGCGCAACTCCTGAGCGCAAGTCTCGACCACCACCTCCGATTCAGTCCATGACGAGACCATCGCCAAAGCAATCGGCTCGTCGCGCACGGTGGTGTAGCAAAGGCCCTGGTACTTGTTGCAGGCGAGCACTGTCGCAGGTGTCCAGCATCCGTTCGTGCGCATGTATGCGCAGATATGCTTCCAGATGAGCCCGAGGATGTAGCCCTTCTTCTTAATGTCATATGGCTCGCCGAAGCCAATGCGCAGGTCATGCTGTGTGCCAGTTGAGGCTTGGGTGAACTTGATAGGGTGGTCGCGAGCCCGCTCATAGAAAGACTTCGCGTGCTCCTGTGATCAAACTTGATAGCATACGCGAATCGTAAGCTCTGACAATTTGGTACACATTCATCACGGTACTCCTGCGGCATATTGGTTTTGAGGATCGCAAAGTGTCGTTCAAATGCGTTATTCTGCTGCTTCTTTGGAAATCCACGAATCCAAATCTTCGTCCTGTCAGCAGGCACTGTAGGTCGCACCGTGGATGGAGTCGTGGATGGTGGAGCAGTCGAGCGACCCGATGCCGAGCCACGTACGGCGGCCCATGGGTCAGAGGGTGGCTGGTCCATTTTGCGCTGCATCTCCGCGAAGCTGGCCTCGAGACTTTGCAATCTCGCTGACGCCGAATATGTGCTTGCCATCCCGTCGACCTGCTCCATTTCGGTATATGCTCCCTGCTGCTGTCTCTGAAGTTTGAGCTCCAGCTCGTCCATGCGTGCGCTGTGGGCCTGAATGTCGCCCTTCATGGAGTTGATGGTGGCTGAGTTCTGCTGAACCCCTGCAGAGAGCCGCCCATCCATCTTTTTGATGGCCGTCAAGTTGCCAGCGAGCGTTGCGTTCATCGAATCCATCTGGGCATTTAGCGGCCGAAGAATCTCATTCAGCATGATCCGAAGAGCCGCTGGGTCGAGAGCCATCGCACCGAAGGAGAGATGCACTCACTGGCGGGTACGATACACAGAGGCGAAATGCGTGTGGTTTAAATGCAAATAGAATGCGGTGACCCCTGTCCTTGGGGCCTCTCCAGGGTCACTCACGCGCGCGGCGGGCGCTGGCCACTTGAGTCGGGGGGTTGAGCTCCCGATATGGCCTTGAGCCGAAATGGCTACGGAGGTGATGATGATGATGATGATGATGATGATGATGATGATGATGATGATGATGATCGAATGCTCCATTACACGAGGTCGCGGCCGAATGATCCCAACAATGATCTAATCGGTTAAAACATGGCTGACAAGTGGAGCAAGAGGAAGCGCAGGAGGAGGAGGTGGAGGAGGTGGGGGAGCAGGAGGAGGAGGAGGAGGAGGAGGAGGAAGGAGAAGGGGGACAAACCCTGCACCATACGTGTAAACCATACCACTGCTGCCCACCAGTCGATCGAAGCATCTCGTGAATCAAATGCCGAACCGGAGAGTCTAAGCGAGCGAGCGCTCGAAGCCTCGACCGAAAAGGGCAATCCACTGGGCAGCAGGGCAGACCACGTGGGACGCACGTGCACACTGGAACACCCCCGAAACCGCCTCGTTGACACGAGCAGCCTGGATTCAACTATTTAGGGTGTGCTCGGGGTACACATCGAGCCACCACTGCTTTACACGCAGTGCTGGGGCGTCGGGAGCTCACTGGAAGGGCGTTAATTCATCCACAAATCCCACAACGGTATGGGGGCACTCAAGGTAGTGCTTAATTATGTCTCCGCCGTCAGCGCCACATTATCTACATTGCAACACATTTTGCGAGAAACGGGCTGACATATGATGAGCATGATGATGACGATGACGATGATGATGATCAGGAGATGGATGGTGATGATGATGCTGCTGATAATGGTGGCGATGGTAACTGATGATGCCAATGGTGAAAGTGCTGCTGGTGACAATCATGACAATGGTGATGTCATTATGACGACGATGGCGATGATGCCGCAGGTGGTGTTGCTGATGCCGTTTGGAATATGACTGAGGAGAAGGAGGAGGAGGAGGAGGAGGAGGAGGAAAAGGAGCAGCAAGAGGAGGGCAAATATCCGCTCTCGCAAGGACGCCTCAGATGCGCGCTTGATCCTGGCCGCCCCTTGGCAACCGCGGGCGCGGTGGCCGCCTGCGCCCGCAGGCTCGCGAGCTCCTCCTCCGCGCCGCCAGGGCCACTGGCGGTCGCCTGCCAGCTTCTGTCAGGGGCGGCGATGGGGGAGAATAGCTCAAGAGCGGGTCTTACGCGGATTCGCCAAGGAAGTTCGCCGAAAACATGGACCATGGGCGCCCCTGGATACATGTATTGCGCACTATGGCGTTCTGGTTCAATTTGGTCCAGAAATAGGAGTCACTATGTTGTTCTGTCGGCCCGGTATTTGCTGGCAGCGCTCCCTATGGTTTTCTGGCCCGCTATGGTCCATAAGTCCGACTCACGCTGTGGCTCTGCAAGGGGACCCGAAAGAAACGTCTCCCAAGACGGGCGACGGCCCGGCGGACTGCCGGTACTGTGTGTTTTGCGCCTGTTCCAACAGATTGCCCCATCGATTGTGGCTCGAATACTTGTGTTTTATAGATGCTCCTATAGATTGCCCGTTCCCTGCGGCTGAAGACCTGCGTGTGTTTACTGATGCGCCTATCGATTGCCTTTTCTCCTGTGGTTCGAACTTGATTTGTTTTACACACGTTCCTATCGATTGCCCCATTTCTGGGGGTCGAACCTGTGTATTGATTATGTGCATATAAGTTTTACGTAAGTTCCTATGTATATTTATATATATACCTATACGACAACCCTTCGGGTGATAAGGAGGCGAGGGGGGCGGGGGGCGACGTCGCACTCGAACGATCTCACTATCGAACTCACTACCGATCTCACAATCGACCTCGACCGATCAATCTCACAATCGATCTGACTATCGATTTCACAATCGATCTCACAATCGATCTCGCAATCGAACCGCGGGGCCCAGGCCGCCCGGAAGGGAATCATTTGGTCCGGCTGCGCCTCAGCCACACGGGACACCAGCGGGACACCGGCGGGACACCGCGGGGCCCCGGCCGCCCGGAAGGGAATCATTTGGTCCGGCCGCGCCTCAGCCACAGGAGACTTTCTCTCGCCCGCCCACGCAGCTTCGCCTCGCCCGCACGGCACGCACGAACACGAAACCGAAATCGATTTCCCGGTAGGGGGGCTCTCCGTTCCACTTCGATCTCACCCCCTGTGCACCTCCGATATATGTATAGCTCCAGCCGCGGGGTCAAGTCGCAACTGCATTTCGTATGTTCTTGTACATGTCGAGCACCGGGGGTTCAAACCCAATATGCTCCACATGTGTTCCTATGACTTGTCCTGTGGCTCGAGCAGTTCGTAATCTACGTTTGTGTTACAGAAATGCCCCGTTCCTGGGGTCTACCGTGTTTGACGTACGCTCCCATCGATTGCCCGATTGCCCCTCCACTGTGGCTGGAATCCGATTCGATGCACGTGTGTGCCTATAGGTTTGCCTTGGAGATCGACCGCCACGTGCATTCCACATGTAACTGCAGAACTTCCCTCTCCGGTGTACGTGTGTGCCTATAGGTTTGCCCTGCTGGGGATCGACTGCCGCGTGCATTCCACATGTACCCGTGGACCTTCCCTCTCCCAGGGCTGGAACCCCGTGTCTTACGTATGTGCCTACAGCCTGCACGTCTGCTGTGGTTCGACTCCACTCTGTTTACGCATGAGCCGATCGATTGCCCCTCTCCTGCGGCTCGGATCCAACGCGTTTTGCGTATGTGCCTGTCGATTGCCCCTCTCCTGTGGCTCGCAACCTGTACGTTTCAGGTTTGTGCCTGTAGATTGCCCCTCTCCGCTGGCTCGAAGCCAAAACATTTTACGTACGTGCCAACCGATTTCCCCTCTCCTGTGGCACGAGCCCTACGTATTTTACGCACGTGTCTATAGACAACCCCGCTCCAGTCGCTCGAACCCGATGTGTGTGTGTGTGTTTACTCACGTGCCAATATATTGCTCTCTCCTGGGGTTTGAGTCACATGTGTCGTACGCACGCTTGGCTCGAGCGCTGCGTGTTGATGTATCCAGAGCTCCCGATTCCTCACGCCCCCATCTCCTGTGGCTCGAATTCTGCGTGTTTACGCGTGTTCCTATGTACTGTCCGTTTCCTGGGGCTCGGGGCCCATGCGTCTTTCATCTGTTCCTGTAGGTTGCTACTCTCTTGTGGCTCGAATCCTATGCGTTTTACGTGTGCGCCTATAGGTCGCTCCTGTTGCCCCTCTCCTGGGGTTTGACTCCGAAAAGTTTTACGTATGTGCCCGTACTTTGCCTCTCACCTGTGTTTCGACTATGTGCTTCGCGCGTGTGCTTTTGATTTGCCCCTCTCCTCTGATTCGAATCCTATGTGTTTCGCGTGTGCGCTTATCGATCGGCCCGCTCATGTGGATCGAATCCTGTGTGTTACGTCGGTGACTGTAGATTGCCCCTTTCCGGAGGCTCGAATCTAACGTGTTTTACGCATGCGCCTATCGATTGCCTGTCCCATGGAGCTCAGATTCTGAATATTTTACGCACGCGTGGTCGAATCCTGTGTTTACGTACGTGCCAATAGATAACCCCTCTCCCGTGGTTCGAATTCTATGTGTCTTACGTCGGTGACTGTATAATGCCCCTTTCCTGCGTCTCGAATCACAAGTTTTACGCATGCGCCTATATATATATATAGATATCCTGTGTATATATATAGATAGATAGATATAGAGATGTATAGGTGTGTATATAAATATCGATTGCCTCTCTCCTGCGGTTCAAATCACATGCCTGTTTTACGTATGTGTTTTTAGACTGCCCCCTGTCTGCAGCTTGAGCCCTGAGCGTTTTGCGCGTGTGCCTGAAGATCGTGTGGCTCGAATCCTACGCGTCTCCCAGGCCTCCCATAGCCCAGGGACAGAACTTCGGAAGTTTCTTTGTGTCCGTCGCGAAACCCAGACGTGGATGGCGACTGGCTTGAATGTTAAGACCACGCAGGAATGCTGGCGAATAGCCTGCCTGCCGGCCACGGAGGGCTCCTGCGGGTGGAGATCGACGCCCGTGACCTTCGCATGGATGCCGCGCACCACTCGAAATAGAAACTATGACTCGGCTACATAGGGAGGACGCCGGCGAGCTTAGCGGTCGCACCGACGTTGGTGCATGCGCGCATGTCGTCGTAGTCCTTTTGGATGAGCGTAGCGGAAGGCCCGTCGATTGCTGGAAGGTAGAAGAGGGCTGGCTCTGCGCGGGGGCTTGGCGTTCACGCGCACGTGCACGTGCATGGCGGACGACGCCTTGCGCCACTCGTAGGCGCGCACGTGCCATCCCCGCGCGTTGTGCAGTCGATGATCGTCTTTGTGGCAGACTATGGCTGCCAGCTTGGCCTAGACGTCGTCTGTCATTTGATGCCGCCCTTCGACAATATGGCCTCGAGGATGCGCAATACGTCCAGGTCGTCGGACTGCATCATGTTCGCGAACTGGAGCATGTAGGGGATGTCCAACAAGAGCTTCTGGGCTTAGTGTGCCTTCCGCATCAACTGGGAAACGCTCTCGAGCGGTGACCACTCTCGCAGGCCTCACTGGCACGCCGCCCGCGAAGGCGGCCCACACGCTCCACAGCACGCTCGCCAGAGGGAGTCTTCCGGATACCTTTACTGATTGAAAAACTGGACTACTGCGTTGCCGCAATGCCTATTAGCTTGCCGACTGAGGCGCGCAATCTTGTGCCCCTTCCTGCGTTGGTTCCGTGCCGTGCTCTCGCGACCGCGGTGCTGCTCAGCCTGTTGCACCCTCTGCTTTCGCGACCGCGGTGCTGCTCAGCCTGTGCCGCCTCGCATGTCTCGCAGCCTCTCCAACGAACTTGCGGCCGCTTTCCTTGGATGATAATATCCATCGGCCACCAGACGGCAGAAGTTCTATCCAGCGCGCTCGACAACAAATATTCGGGTCATCCTCCTCAGCCCTATCCAAATGTGATCGTACACCTTGATCGAAAACCAACAGCCGATTATACCCAGATCACAATGAGATCGTCATGATACCGTAATCGAAAATACTGACAACTCAACACGGTCATCGTCGTCCTCGTCATGCGCCCCCCCCCCAACGGCAGCAGCACCGACAATATCACCAGGAGCAGCAACGACACCGCTCCGGACTGGTTGGAGTTCAACACCATGCAGCACCAGTCAGAATATTCCAAGTACTAAGAGTACTTCCGCGATCACCAACATCAACATCACCTTCAACAGCGTCGGCGTCCTCATCCCGGCACTCCTGGTACTCTGTCCACTGCTGCTACTGTCCGGAACCCCGAATCCGTTCGAGACAAGCGGAGGCGACAAGTCCCGGGCGACCTGCCAGCGCGGGGATCTTCGGCCTGCCTGTGCGGTGCTCTTCGGGTTGCTTGTGCTGTGCAACCTGTCTGCGCGGTGCTGGTCAGCCTGCTTGCGCGGTACCCCCAACGTAAGAAAGGTTTCGAGCCCGAGAGAGGCAATCTCTAGGAACATACGTAAAACACATAGGAGTCGAGCCACAGTAGCGGGGCAACCCATAAGAACGCACGTAAAACACATAGTACATAGTACCACCATCGCCATCATCACCATAACCGTCATCAATAACACCATCCTCATCGCTTGCATCTGCGGGACATCCGCAAATCTACACACCTTAGCTGCTATGAGGGTGCTTTGCACAGGGAATTCGCACTGAATCTTTCTCCGACGGTCCCGAAGCTCGGCGAGAACCCCCGGAAGCCGAAAGCACTCCCGAACCGCCTGCTCCGATTGTTTGGAGCGTCGGACCTCTGGGATCGGGCGGTGGGCGTGCGCGCTTCTGGCCCGCCCGCTCGGCCGGGGGCCCGGGGAGCCGTGGGCGCTCCTCGCCCCTCGCGCGCCCTCGCGCCCGATACCCCCCGCAAGGAAGCCCGCCCGCGGCCCGTCAGGGCACTACGCCTGGCGGCCTCCCGCGGGGGGGGGGCCCGCCGGCGTGACGTGGAGGCTGGCGGCCATGCAGCGTCGCAGCGACCGGCTGCAGCGCCCGACCCTGCAGGAACCCGCTCGCGGCCCGTTGGCGCGCTGCGCTCCTACTGAGGCAGAGTCCAGCTAGAATGGCGTCCCCCGCCCCTCTTCCCGTTCCCTCCCCCAGTGCGAACCAAGTCACCACCTCTCCCCTCCCGCCCACCCCCCCCTCTTCCCCGGTCCACCCTGGGTTCGGCGGAGCAGGAGGATCCCCCCCCCCTTTGGCTCGTCGAACTGGGGGGGAAGCAGCAGTTGGCAGAAAACGCTTTTTCAAATGGTTTGGCCTCTCGATGGGTTCCTATGGAGCCTGCGTGGCCACTTGGAGCCGTCTTGGGGCGGTTGTGGGGCCTCTTATAGCATGCCGGAAGCCATCTTGAGCTATCTTGAACCATTTGGATCCTTCTTTGCAGCCTGGCGCTCTCAGACTGAAGCTCTCTCTCTCTCTCTCTCTCTCTCTCTCTAATGGAGCCATCCTGGGCCATTTTGGACGCTCCAATTGGTCGCGAAGCCCTCCGTCCAGGTCCAGGGGAGGGGGGGGAGGGGCACAACCCTCCCCGAAGGGGAAGAATTGGGTTGGAAGAGGAAAGGCGCTAGACCACTTGCGCCTGGACGGCTGGTGGGATTCGAAACGCTGCTGAATGTCCCCCGCTGCCCCTCTCCATTCTTGCGCCCCCTCCTCCTCCTCCTGCTGCTCCTCCTCCATTCCTTCTCCTTGTAGATTATTTCTCCCTGTCGCACCCCGAGGCCAGTTTTCAGGGCGGGCTGGGCGTTTCGCCTGAGACATCCTCACCAGTTATGATCCTGAAGCTTAGAAAGTGACAACAGCTTCACAAATGGAGGGCGGGTCGTGTTCAAAATGTGGCTCTCGCGCTAGCGCCGCGGACATTTTTTTATAATAGAGAAACATTTGCAAGAGCTTCCTGGATCGAGGGCGGGTCGTTGTCAAAATGTGGCTCTCGCCTTAGCTCCGCGCACATTCGGTATAAACAAGTGCAAGCGTTTCACATATTGAGGGCGGGTCGTTTTCGAAATGTGGCTCTCGCCTTAGCGCCGCGCACATTCGTTTACAAATTTACAAGAGCTTCACGGCTAGAGGGCGGTTCCTTTTCAAAAAGTGGCTGTCGCCTCAGCGCTGCGCGCATTCGATATAACACTTTGCTAGAATTTCACGGATTCCCATGGCCAACGTACCAGTAATGGTGCTTTGGAAGGGATCAGGAGTATGCGGGCGCAACAATTATGTTGATTCGCGATGTTGAAGTTCCAAAAATGGAGTTTTGGCATGATTCCAGATCGTCAAGACGCAGCAGTCAGGATGATACGTGACGTTTAAATTCCGAGAACAATGTTTTGGCACGATTCAGGAATTCAGGATCTTCAAACGGTTGTCTTCCAATGAAGCAGTCCCCTCAATGGAAATGAACAATTGTAGGGGCCTATGAAGAGGGAGCTTGGAGAGAGGGCTAATTCCAACATCGTTAGTGCCTCTTGGGTTTACATTGGTCCTGCTCCTCCAACTCTTCCTCCTCCTCGTCCTCCTCCTCCTTCTTTTTCTCATTCTCCTTCTCCTCCTCCTCCTCTGCCTCCTTCTCATTATCTTTCTCCTTCTCCTCCTTCTCCTCCTCCTCCCCGTCCTCCTCCTCTTTCTTCTCCTCCTCCTCCGCCTCCTCCTCCCCTTCCTCCTCCTCCCTTTCTCCTCCTCCCTGCCCCACTCGCACTCGGAGGAGCACCCAGGAGGAGGTGGGGGGCGGGAAGAGGAGGAAGTTGGAGAAGGAGAAGGAGCAGTAGGAGGCGACGACGTCGCCGCCAGCGACGATGCCGAGGATCGCCAATAGCGGAGGCGGGGGGGAGGAAACTGGCAAGCCGAGGCCGCCGCCGACGACGACGACCCCGACGCTGCCGGCGACGACGCCGTCGGCGCGACGACGCCGCCGGCGAAGACCACGACCCTGTCGGCGGCGGCCTCTCCGAGGGCGGCCCCCGCCGCCGCGGCCGCTCCGCGGGAGGCTGCCGCCCGTGATGCGGCCGCGGAGCGCACGCCGCGCCGTCCCCGGGGGCCGCGGCCGCCCGCCGCGGCAGCGGCCGCCGCGGTGGCGGCAGCGGCGGCGGCCAGGGCGCCAGGCGCTGCGGGGCGCGGGCGCGGGCGCCCGGCGAGGCCGTGCGCCTCTCCGGAGGGGACGCGGCTCTCGTCGGCGGCGGCGGCCCAGCGGCCGCCGTAGGGCGTCGAGCGTCGCTGGCGGCGGTGGCGGCCGTCGTCGAGCGTCGGCGTCGTCGTCATCGTCGTCGTCGTCGTCTGCGGCGGCGCCATCGCCGTCGCCGTCGCCGCCGCCGTCGCCGCCGCTGCCGCCGTCGTCGTCGTCGTCGTCGCCGCCGCCGTCGTCGTCGTCGACGATGGTGGCGGTGGTGGCTGTGGTGGGTGGTGGTCGTCGTCGTCCTCCTGCTCCTTTCCCACCATCCATTCGTTGACCGACTCCACCGAGGATGAGAAGCATACAAAATCAAAGGGAATCATAAGGCTTTTGTTATCTGGGCGTGCCAAGCCTGGCTATGTCACGCGAACTTCTGGGACTCCTAGAGACGCAATCCTAAAAGATCTTCGGATTTCTCACTCTCCTCCCACCTCCCCCTCCCCTTCCCCGTCCCATTCACGATTACACAATCTGAATACTACTCTCCTCTCTCCCCTGGTGACGTCCTGGAAATGGCCGGCCACCTTCCGTGTAGTTACTGGTTTGTTTTGTTCCCCATATCCTAAGGATTGGGGTTCTTGTTATTACTCTGACGCCTCCCACTCCTCCTCCTCCTTCTTCCTCCCGCTCGCGCCTCCCTCCTCCCAATGATAATCACCAGATAAGACAAAACAAGATAAGATACTACAAGATAAGATAAGATAGCACAAGATATGATAAGAAGAGATTTCAAGATCAGATAAGATAAGTTAAGCTCACACTCACACTCTCTCATGATCACAAAACGCTGCCAGGGGCATCATTGGGAGCCCCAAGGGGGAGCCACCCTGGCTGATCTCACGAGCCCGTTCGCGCCGATTTTGGTGGGACGTCTCAGCTAGAATTGCCGTTTGGCGCCCCCAACATGTATCTCTTGAGAGCCTCATGGTCACAAAACGCTGCCAGGGGCATCATTTGGGAGCCCCAAGGGGGAGCCACCCTGGCTGATCTCACGAGCCCGTTCGCGCCGATTTTGGTGGGACGTCTCAGCTAGAATTGCCGTTTGGCGCCCCCAACATGTATCTCTTGAGAGCCTCATGGTCGCAAAACGCTGCCAGGGGCATCATTTGGGAGCCCCAAGGGGGAGCCACCCTGGCTGATCTCACGAGCCCGTTCGCGCCGATTTTGGTGGGACGTCTCAGCTAGAATTGCCGTTTGGCCTCCCCAACATGTCTCTCTTGAGAGCCTCATGGTCACAAAACGCTGCCAGGGGCATCATTTGGGAGCCCCAAGGGGGAGCCACCCTGGCTGATCTCACGAGCCCGTTCGCGCCGATTTTGGTGGGACGCCTCAGCTAGAATTGCCGTTTGGCCTCCCCAACATGTATCTCTTGAGAGCCTCATGGTCACAAAACGCTGCCAGGGGCATCATTTGGGAGCCCCAAGGGGGAGCCACCCTGGCTGATCTCACGAGCCCGTTCGCGCCGATTTTGGTGGGACGTCTCAGCTAGAATTGCCGTTTGGCGCCCCCAACATGTATCTCTTGAGAGCCTCATGGTCACAAAACGCTGCCAGGGGCATCATTTGGGAGCCCCAAGGGGGAGCCACCCTGGCTGATCTCACGAGCCCGTTCGCGCCGATTTTGGTGGGACGTCTCAGCTAGAATTGCCGTTTGGCGCCCCCAACATGTATCTCTTGAGAGCCTCATGGTCACAAAACGCTGCCAGGGGCATCATTTGGGAGCCCCAAGGGGGAGCCACCCTGGCTGATCTCACGAGCCCGTTCGCGCCGATTTTGGTGGGACGCCTCAGCTAGAATTGCCGTTTGGCCTCCCCAACATGTATCTCTTGAGAGCCTCATGGTCACAAAACGCTGCCAGGGGCATCATTTGGGAGCCCCAAGGGGGAGCCACCCTGGCTGATCTCACGAGCCCGTGACGAGAGAGAGAGAGAGAGAGAGAGAGAGAGAGAGAGAAGAGAGAGAGAGAGAGGAAGCGAGAGAGAGGGAGAGGAGAGAGAGAGAGAGAGCGGAGAGAGAGAGAGAGGGGGAGTTGAGAGAGGAGACAGGCGAGAGAAGGCGAGAAGAGAGGAGAGAGAGAGAGAGAGAGAGAGAAGAGAGAAGAGAGAGAGGAGAGAAGAGAGAGACGAGAGCGGAGAGAGAGAGGAGACACGAGAGAGAGAGAGAGAGAGAGAGGGGAGTTGAGAGAGGAGAAGGGAGAGAAAGAGAGAAGAGAGAAGAGAGAGAGAGAGAGAGAGAGAGCGAGGAGAGAGGAGATGAGAGAGAGAAGAGCGAGAAGCAAGAGAAGAGAGGAGAGGACGAGGAGAGAGAGAGAGAGAAGATGAGATAGAGAGAGAGAGACGGAGGAGGAGAGAGAGAGAGAGAGAGAGCGGCTGAGATGTGATGAGGAGAGAGAGAGAGAGAGAAGAGAGAGAGAGAGGAGAGATGAGAGAGAGAAGAGATGAGAGAGAGGAGAGAGAGAGAGAGGAGAGAGAGATGGGGAGAGAGAGAGAGAGAGAGAGAGAGAGAGAGAGAGAGAGAGAGAGAGAGAGAGAGAGAGAGAGAGAGAGAGAGAGAGAGAGAGAGAGAGAGAGAGAGAGAGAGAGAGAGAGAGACGGACAAGTAGGCGGACCAGGGCCCGTCCGCGAGGCGCACTGCGGTGCGACAACCCGCAAAACACTATTAGCGGCGGTGCAGCCTTAAGATACGAGGGCGGGCGACAGGCCCCCTCCCCCGGCGCAATGCGTCTGAAGCAAAAGACGGCGGACAGACCATGAAGATCTCACCTGTCAGACCGCGTGAAGAAGAAGGCCCCAACGCGAGTGGCGACGTGAAGAACGTGGCTAAGGCGGCTTGGCGGACCGCCGGTTGGGCGCTTGGCCCCTGCGCGGCGCGCAGAGACGGGGCGCCCCCCGCCCCCGCGCCCAGGCCCCGTGGACGCGGTGCCTCGCGGGCGCACGGGCTGGCGAAAAGAGAAAAGGTGCACCAGCTGGGAGCCGTATGGCCCAGCACAGTGCGCACAGGCCGAGAACCCCAACAGGAGCGGCAAAAGCTAGCCGACAGCACAGCGGCACCAGCCGCTGCCAGCTAACCTTTAGCCCCCATTGGCGGACCTCGAAAGTGACAGAGTCCGCGGCCAGGCGGCGGACGGCAGAGGGGCGCCAGACGCGCTGAGGAAAAGGTGCACATGCTGGGAGCCGAATGGCCCAGCATGCGCACAGGCAGAGACAGTGCAAGGGTGCAGAGGAGGCCCTCACCGCGGATGCACCCGCTACGACATGGCGGACATGACATGGCGTGATGGCTCGGGTGCGCGGGGCGGGGCTGAAGCCGCCACCCCCGCCAGCAGGCACGGCGCACCAGGGAACAGCGCCCGGGTGAGCAAGGCAGGACGCGCACATGCGGCGAGGGCGAGGCCGTACCACGCTGGTCAGGATGAGGGCAAAGTGAATGAGAAGCCCCAGCGTTCTTCAGAAGTGTCGGACCACGTAAGAAACTGAAGAAGGAAATCAGTATCAGTGCGCAGACGCTTGAGAGTGGCGCGGTGGATGAGGCCTGCTGCGCGGCCGTGCGGGAGGCCGAGGGCCGCGTCCACGCAGGTTAGGAGCATGTCCGAACTGCGGGCCAGAGTCGTGGTGGAGGTAGTGGTCGTCGGCGCCGTCGTCGCGTGAGTCTCGGAGTCCGACTTCACAGTCAGCTGTGCGTTCAGTCTGGGCGCGGCTGCTTGGTGGGACGGTCAGCGCAGGTGGCCTGCAGGGTACTGCTGCCGTGACGTCAGGGCGCTGTGCTGCTGAGGTACGGTGGCGTGGGTCCACTGCTGGGCCGGGCTGGGGTCCCTGAGTTTGGGCCTTGGTCTGTGCGCCCGTACTGGGGGGCGGCATCTCGGCGCGGAGCGCAGGTGCAGGGACGGTCAGACTGGAGCAGCTCAGGTGGGCGGTGTCCCCAGACGACAGCGTGACGGTCCAGTGGCCGGGGTGCTCGCTGGACTGCCCCCGTACGATACCTCGGAGGCCGTTGATGGGGTTGTGGACTTGACCCTGGACGATGACCGCTGTGCCCGCGTGGAGCCGTGGTGGGATCCAAGCGGCCAAACGGCAGTTTACGGCTCGGAGGTGACCGATGGTGGCTGGTTGCGGTCCGAGGAAGCGCTCGAAGTGCTCCCGTACAGTCACAGTGCTAGTGCTGGCAGTGCTGGTGCTAACACGCGAGGTTGCGAGGGAGCCAGGACCCAGGGCAGGCGTGTGAGCATGCGAGACGGCCGAGGCTGGCCCCGCTGCCGTGCTACCAGGTTGTGGCGGGGGGGTCACCCCAGGGCTCGAGGCAGCGTGGGGACCGATGACAGGAATGGCAGGCGTGGTGCCATGCGGGGGGGCTGAAGCCGCCCCCGCTGGCGTGCTACCAGGTTTTGGCGGGGGGGTCGACTCGAGGCTTGAGGCGGTGTGGGGGCCGATGACAGGAATGGCAGGCGTGGTGCCATGCGGGGGGGCTGAAGCCGCCCCCGCTGGCGTGCAACCAGGTTTTGGCAGGGGGGTCGGCTCGAGGCTCGAGGCAGCGCGGGGGCTGATGCCAGGGCGGCCCTGGGCGGCCGTCTGGTGGCCTAGAGGGCGTCTGCGGTCGACGTCGCCGCCGCGCTGTCGGCGTCGCCGCCGCGCTGTAGCTGCGCTCCGTCGCCGCCACTCGTCGCGGAAGCCGATGAAGAAGTAGTACATGACGTACGTGGCGCACAGCGTGGCCCACGTGGACGGTGACACCACGTTGTACCACTCGATGACCTCCAACCACACACGCTCCACGAACGCTGCCGTGTAGGCCGACGTGGGTGCCACCTTTGGTGCCGCCGCGGACGACTCAGGGCGTGCTGAATCTGGCAGGGTTGGCGTGAGAGTTGTCGTCGGCGATGACGTCTCGGCCGCGCTCGGTGCCGGCGTTGGTGCTGGTGTCAACGTTGGTGCCCGCGTAGGCGTGGGCGTGGGTGCTGCCGCTGGCAGTGCTGGTGTCGA